ATCCAAAGGGCTATAAATTGTTCTACTATAAGGACACATGCACACGAATGTTCATGGCAGCACTGTTTACAATAGCAAAGACCTGGAACCAACCCAAATGCCCATCGATGATAGACTGGATTGGGAATATGTGGCACATATACACCATGGAAGATTATGCAGCAATTAAAAATGATGAGTTTGTGTCATTTGTAGGGACATGGATGAATCTGGAGAACATCATTCTCAGCAAACTGACACAAGAACAGAAAATGAAATACCGCATATTCTCACTCATAGGCAGGTGATGAAAAATGAGAACACATGGACACAGGGAAGGGAGTACTAAACACTGGGGTCTATTGGGGGGGAAAGGGGAGGGTCAGTGGGGGGCGGGGGAGCTGGGGAGGGATAGCCTGGAGAGAAATGCCAAATGTGGGTGAAGGGGAGGAAGGCAGCAAAACACACTGTTATGTGTACCTGTGCAACTATCTTGCATGTTCTGCACATGTACCCCAAAACCTAAAATGCAATTAAAAAAATAAGAAAGAAAATACCATAAAGGGGGTAGCATGAGACTGAGGGCACAGAGGATTCAACGTAGGAGAGAGAAGGGATGGCCCTGGGTGACCACACAGAGCAGGCCTGGAGAGCAGCAAGTCCATAGTGGAACAGAAGCATGGAAGACCCTAAAGGCAAAATTTCCAGGAAAGAAAATGAAGTGAATAGGTGTTGGCTGTATTGAGTGTGTTTAAAATAATATTGATCAGTTATTGAGAGAGGCACAGGCGCTTTGGAGGAACACTTAGCAACGAATAAGGAAAAAAGTATGCAAATAAAAAACAAGGCAGATGGTTAGTCTCAGTAGGATGGAACAGCATAGTCGATAACATTTTGAGCAGTTTCCACAGTTTTAGTTGATTTTTCTCCACCTAGAAAGAGCTCAATTCTCACCAATGTTCTTTTTTAATCTTAAAGTGTTCACATGTCTATGCAGCAATCAGAAATGATGAGTTCGTGTCGTTTGTAGGGACATGGATGAATCTGGAAAACATCATCCTCAGCAAACTGACACAAGAACAGAAAATGAAACACCACATATTCTCACTCATAGGTGGGTGATGAAAAAATGAGAACACATGGACACAGAAAGGGGAGTACTAAACACTGGGGTCTATTGGGGAGAAAAGGGGAGGGCCAGTGGGAGGGGGAGGTGGGGAGGGATAGCCTGGGGAGAAATGCCAAATGTGGGTGAAGGGGAGAAGAAAAGCAAAGCACACTGCCATGTGTGTACCTATGCAACTGTCTTGCATGCTCTGCTCATGTACCCCCAAACCTATAATCCAATAAAAAATTAAAAAAAAAAAAAAAATTTAAAAGTTAAAGAGATAAAATCAACTTAAAAAAAAAAAAAGTGTTCACATGTCATTGTAAACACAATTTCTCTGAAAACTACTTCTCAAAGTACAAAATATATTAAAGCTATTCCCAAAGAATTAACTTGTCTATATAATTAAGAGTGGACATATTTGAAACTCCAAAATCTGCTGTGAGTCAGAAAATACTTTTATGAATGGGAAATTCATAGAAGGGGAAATCTAAACATCCAATAAAAACGAAATGATGTTAAATCTCATTGGTAATTAGAGAAATACGAAAGAATGAGTTACCATTTCATACCCAGCATATGGGCACATTTTAGAAACCTAACAATGCTACGTGCTGGGTAGGATCTGGAGGAACTGGAGTTCTCATATCTTGCTAATGATAGTCACACTGTACAACTTTGGAACAAAATCAGTCATCCCTGTCAATACTGAAGACATCCTCACCACTTCTAGGTGTTATAGTTGAAATAAACTCTCATTCATGTGACTAAGGAGATGAACATAAAAGGATGTTTACTGGTCTTTACTTCTAATAGAAAAAATTGGTAAGATCACGTAAATGCTCCTTAGTAATAAATATGCTAGAATTTTTTCTTTAAAGAGAAATAACATATAGCAGTTTAAAGTGAGCAATTTGGGTCACATGTATGAATATGCATTCAGAGTGAAAACACTAAGTTGCAGAACATACATATTTATTGAATGGCTATATAACTATTAAAAATTATGATATTTTGCTTTTATATATAAATATGTAGCAATATTTTAAAATGTAGCAATATCATAAAAAGATACCGTGGAAATCCTATCCATCAATTTTAGGATATTTGTTAACTCTGAGTAGGAAAAAAAAAAAGGGAAAAGATATGGGTAAGAGACTTTAGCAATATCTAACATTTCTTTAAAAAAGCAAAAAGGCAACGATCTGAATATGGCAAAATAAAAATATTTGTTAATTGCATGTCTAATACCTATTTTCTACCCTTTAAAAATTTCCAAAATTAAAACCTTTATATTAAAAAATGTATTAAACTACAACACACAACTGTGTGGTCTTTATTTGGATCGTGAGTCAAAAATAAACTGGAAAAAGTATACACACATATCACATTTGTGAAACAACTGCCAATCTAAACATATGAGTATATGTTGATTTTTTGGAATTATTAATTTTTTCCTAGGTGTGATAATGATTTTTAAAAGACAGCCTTATCTTTTAGAGACATATACTGAAATGCCTGTGGATGAATAAATGCTTACAGATGCTGATTAAGATCTGCTTCAAAGTAATACAATGTGTATTGGGGTAGGAGTCTACATGAAACACAATTAGGCATAAGTTCTCGATTTTTTGAAGTTGAGTGATGAGAACATGAGTGGTTATTATATTCTAATTTTGTATGTGTTTAAAATTGTCCATAATACAATCAGGTAGACAAGAAATATGTCAAATTCGATTTGTAAATAATCAAAACAAATTAAGATATTCAATCTTGGAGTTCCTGTTAAGAAGTAGGGAGTTTTTATGAGTGTGCTGAATTAAATGACATATAGGTCATCAGCCTAAAGAATAGGGCAGTATTTTTATGATACTGAATTTCTCTTAAGGATCTACAGTCCAGGACTTCTAAGTACCGTGGCAAAAAAAAAAAAAAAAAAAAAAAAAAAAAAGGCAGTTCCCCAGAAAGTTGGCTGCCTCACAACCTTACCCACACTAAGAGTTATGCCTCTCATTTTGCTGAGAGAAGAAAAATCAAATTCATTTCTCTGCCAGCTGAGTAAGGCAGGAAATCAACCTAGGAATTTTAATGCTGCATTACTTCGTACTGGTTCGGTAGAGGGAAAAACAGCTGTTAAAATTCTTAGCCAAACAAGATACAATGCTTTTCTTTAAGCCAGAGAAGAAGGCAAGCAATTAAACCTAACACACCCAAGCTAATTAGTTCTACCTGCTTCTTAATAATTATGCTATTACCAGACTTAAAAAAATGGCAACCAATTCTTTTTAATTTTTTTTGTTTGTTTTAGAAAGAATCAGACTCTGTTACCCAAGCTGGAGTGCAGTGGCGCGATCTCAGCTCACCGCAACCTCTGCCTCCCACGTTCAATGCATTCTCCTGCTTCAGCCTCCTGAGTAGCTGGGATTAAAGGCACCCGACACCACACCTGGCTAATTTTTGTATTTTTAGTAGAGACAGGATTTCACCACATTGGCCAGGCTCTTAGACTCCTGACCTCAAATGATCTGCCTGCCTCGGCCTCCCAAAGTGCTGGGATTACTTCTAAGGTATACAAATGAGTGTTTTTTCTTCTTTATCAACTAGAAAATTATGAGATGTTCAAGAACTTACAGGCCTGTGCTATTTTGAGAAACTGCTATTGACAGTATTCAGGACAACATAAAACTATTTTTTAAAATGAGAAGCATTATTTTTGTAATTCTTACTTGTTTGAAATGAGATTTGCTAAAAAACCCTGAAACATTTTTCCCAACGACAGCCACAGCCTTGCGTTTATGTCACTCATAAATGATTGTAATCTTAAAAGTACAACATAATATACAGACAGTGTTTTGTTTAGTGCAGATATTAATACTCTTGGGTGTTCTTTTTACATTTAAGAATAAAGTTCCCTCTTCCATATGTCTAGAAATTAAACATTTTTAGGAATTATACAATTATAAAATCAGGCAGTTTGTAAAACAGAAGCAAAATTAGGACCTTGAAGTATCAAAACAGCAATCAAAAGAGAACATAAAGCCAGGTGTGGTGGCTCATGCCTATAGTCCCAGCTACCAAGGAGGCTGCGGCAGGAGGATCACTTGAACCCAGGAGTCTTGGGCCAGCCTGGGCAACCTACTAAGACCCAGTTTCATGATAAACTGCTCTATTCCTTTACTCCTTGGAGCCATCTTTCCCTATGGGAGATGACTTTAAATTGTGTTGCACATACAAATGACATATAGCAATAATCTAGCTTTTAATATCTGTGCTTCCTGACAACATCTAACCTGTGACTAACACTGAATCCTAAAGAAAGCTTTTTTCTTTTTTAAACACTGTCTTGTTTTGTCATACGACCTGGAGTGCAGTGATGCGACCACAGCTTACTGCAGCCTCCCGGGCTTATGTGATCCTCCTGCCTCAGCCCCTCGAGTAGCTAGCACTACAGGTGCACTCCACCATGCCTGGCTAATATTTTGATTTTTTGTAGCAGTAGGTCTCACTATGTTGCCCTTGTGGTCTTGAACTCCTGGGCTCAAGCAATCCTCCCACCTCTGCCTCCCAAAGTGTTGGGGTTACAGGCATGAGCCACTGCACCTGGCCAAGAAAGCTGTTCCTTTGAATTGTCCGCCAGGTGACATGAATTCCCAAGTTTGTACTATAGCTTCCTCTTAAGGAGCCATGGTATTATCATGTAATTAACTCCTGTTTAGTGGAATCAGCCATGAAGAGCAAGGATCATGAAGAGTATCATCAGCTACTTGGTGGCCAGCAGCCCAAGCTCCTACCAGACTGCTGAGGGCCACTACATACGTGTCCCTGGAGAAGCCTATTACCTCACAAAGCAGGAAGACACAGACACAGACAAGTAGAATAAGGGCAGGATATGCTGCTAAGTAGCTAATGAATATTGTCCACAGGTGGACACCATCTCAAAGACCCTCCACAGAGAGCAAGCTTCCAGATGTGGTGGCCAAGGCAGGCTTTAGAGAGGAGAAAGCATACGGACCGAGCCTTGAAAGCTGCCCAGGGTGTGAACAGGAAGAGATGGCTGTGGCCACATGTGGGAGGCTTCCAGGTGGAGTCTGCAGCCATTGCAAAGGGAGAGAATGCAAGTCACAAAGAAGGGAGAGTTGTTAACTTTGGCTGAAACATGGATTTGTGCAGGTAAACCAAAGGGTAGGGGAGATGAAAAAAGAGGCTTGGGAGGGTCTTGAATGTGAGTGTTGGGAAATTTAACTGTAGGAGGTGAGCTCAGCTACTACTGGTGGTCAGGACCCTTCTATGACCTGTGTCAACTTGCACACCTGATTTCATCTGCATATACTGCCACCTTGAATTGAGAGAGGCAAGTCCAAGAGCAGAGTAAGAAGGAGGCTGTGTCTCTCCTGTTTTCTGCCTGCCTATCAGCCCACATTTAGCCAATAAAATTTCCATCTCCTTGATGGACAAATAACTCATGTTTTTTCAGTTAATAGTGGGGATCTCAGAATGAAAACTGACTTGAGTTTCTTATCCATTCATTCTTCAATAAACACTGAGTGTCTAGCTTGTGCCCTGCCCTGGGCTGGACATCAGGAAAATCACATTGAACAAAACCTGGTCTCAGAACCCTAGAGGTTTGTAGTCAGGACAATCACTGTTTCACAGTGTAAAGCTGTTGCAGTTTCTTGAAAGTAAAACAGATACCTATCCCAGTAGCATTCCTATTCCTAAGTATTAATCCAAAAGAAATAAAAACATAATTCACAAAAGCCTGTACAAGAATGTTCACAGCAGCTTTATTCGGACTGGCCAAAAATTAGAAATAAGCCAGATATCCATCAACAAGGAAGGGATAAGTAAACTTTGGGATATTTGAGGAACATAACACAAGAGAACCAGCTATGGACACATGCAACAACATGGTTGCCTCCCAAAAATAATACGCTGAGTGAAAAAAGCTGAACACCAAAAGGTATAGAGTGTTACATCCCATTCCATTCTACAATCAGTGAAATTCACCCTTGGTGATGGATTGCAGGAGTCGCTGCTTTGAAGGGGAGGGCTTGACTGGAAAGGGGCATAAGGGAATTTTATAGGTTGACAGACTGCTCTGTGCCTTGATATTCTTCCCACAAAACTGACTGGATAGTAGACCATATCTGAGCATTTCACTTTATGTAAATTACATCTCAATAAATAAACTGCATAGAGCAAACAAGTAAGCAAATACTGTGGAAGCACATGGCTCTGGAGCCAAGTCTTGAAAGATGAGTAGGGAGGTCATCAGATTGAGAGTGAAAGGTGGAGGAGAGAATATTCTCGACAGAGGAAACAGATGTACAAAAGGTTGGAGATGTGGGGGCACGGCCTTCCACACAATGGACAGAACTTCCTGTGGTTGGAACACAGGATGAGAAAGGAGAGAACAGCATGAGCTGAGAGATCGAGGTGCAAGCACCTTGACTCCTGCACCTCATAAAAAGTGAGGGAATTCAGTGCATGGAGGGTTTGAATAAGCCCTGGAAAGCTGATGCAGAAAAGCCCTAAGAGGTCTGGATACCAACGGGACCAAATACTGGCCTGGGGGCTAAACAAGGCTCTATCTGAAATTCGTTGTGTTAGATTTGGGTTTCAAAACAGAACCCATGTGGTAAATCATGCTAGGATATGTCATTTGAATTTCAACTGTTCCCAAGGGAGAAAAGATGTATTTGAAGGGTGTGCCACATGCAATGAGTTTATTTCAACATCCCCTGACATCAGTGTTTTTCCCAAAGTGTGTTTCAAGGAATAAGTAGTCCTGCAAGATGCGGGCTCCAAAGGAGAATGCTGCGGTTAAAAGGGTTTGGGAAGGGCCACGCCTGCAGATTCACAGTGCACAGGAGCAAAACAGAAGTTTGGAAAAAGGTGTGAGGTCCCACAATCAGCATTTCTCAATAGTATTTGATTATGGTGAATTCTTATTCAATAGTTAATACTAATAGCCAGTCAAATTATGGAATGATTTTTGAGATGTGCTGATTCATGTGATACCCACGTGAGGCATACCAAGCCTCTCTGGTCACCAGAGCAACCATTTTAGAAGTAGCCCAGTGGCTCGAATGCACCAAATGCACTTCCTAATAATGTACTCCTTTCTCACCACAAGATATAATAGTAACAGGGATAACAGTGTTTATTAAGTGCTCACAAAGGTCTAAGAGTTGTACACGTATTGTTTTATGTAATCATCATACCACCTCCAAAGTAGATACTATCAGAAATCCAACCTTAGAGATAAGAACACAGACACCAAGTAAGTTTAAACACCTGCTTAAAAATTCACAGATAGGCTGGGCACCATGGCTCATGCATGTAATCCCAGCACTTCGGGAGGCCGAGGCAGATGGATCACGAGGTCAGGAGTTCGAGACCAGCCTGGTCACTACGGCAAAACCCCGTCTCTACTAAAAACACAAAAATTAGCTGGGCATGTAGTCCCAGCTATTCGGGAGGCTGAGGCAGAAGAGTCACTTGAGCCCAGGAGGCGGAGGTTGCAGTGAGCCGAGATCACGCCACTGCACTCCAGCCTGGGTGACAGAGAAAGACTCCGTCTCAAAAAAAAAAAAAAAATTCACAGATAATAAGTGATGGAGTTGGAATCTGAACCCAGGCATGATTCCCGAGCCTTCCATCTTAATCACTATGCCAGCTGTCATCTCCATTGACAAAATATAACCTCCTTCAATATAAATGAAGTACACTTGATGGGTTCATCCATTCTTTTATTCACTCAAATCCCTCAGTTAATAGTGAAGTACCAATAAATGTACATAAGGCTCATTGCATTTAAAAAGTGTGTTTTTTACTTGATTTTTGCTGAAATTTGGCTGCAGGCAATAGGGGTTGGACTCATTACTTTTCCATCTTTGAATGGCAGTTCCTTACAGGAACATGTCTGGTCTGATTCAGTTCTTGGTCATTCTGGTCAAAAATGATATTGCTAAGCATTTCACTCTATGTAAATTATGTCTCAATAAATAAACTGGATAAAGCATTTTAGAGTCTATTGCTAAGCAACATCATTTTTGACCAGAAGAAACTAGGATTTGTTTCAACCCTAGTGTTTTTTTCTGGGTTAGTGTTAACTCAGTCATTTAATTATCCCTTCATGCAACATATTTCCTAAAACTTCCCTGAACCATGCATCCTCCAAGTTAGCCAATAGTCTCTCTAAAGAAACTGAAAATAGTCACCATCAGAAGTCCTATAAGTTTGTCTGAGAAGATCGATGGTTTACCTGTAAGCCTACCTTAATTTATACAAAGAATTTGTGTGACTATCCTATGCTAGAGAGGGGTGAAGGGACTGGCTGTCATAGTAGGCAAGAGATTAAACCTGACAAATATATTCATCTTATCTATATATCTATATCTCTTACCTGAAAAATACAAAGAGAAAATATTTTAATTTACTGGCAACAGCATTTGAAAAAAAACCAAAAACCCTCTGTTTTCTTGCCCAGACCAATGATAACTTCTACCAGGAGCATACTTTGATGTGATTTTTCCCAGTACTTTGCTTCCAGCCAACACAGTTCAGATTTAGGCTTTTTGCCCCATGTTCATTAAGGTGATGGACTCACAGCCAGCTGAGTAGAGAAAGGGAGCTCATAAAGACAAATTTAGTATTTGATTTTTTTTTAACCATGCTTTATCTCAGACTGCCTGTTTAGCATAAACTAAAACATTTTAAAACCCAAACTATGTAGGTAGAGTGGAGTACCCTAAAAGAAGGCTAACCCACCCCCCTTGCAGTATTACCTTTCAAAGTGGATGTGGTTCCAGTCCCACAGTCCCAGGGGAGACATCATTGTGGAACTGCACTTTCTCATACTGGAGCCTGAATGCAAAATACGGCCTCATTACCAGATGCTGACTAACAGACCATCACATTTTGGCCAAAATATTCATTGTGTTTTTTGCCTCCAATTTCCATGCCGATGAAAAGTACTTTGCATTTGCAAAACTTGGTATTTTTTTTAGGGCTTATGCTGAACAGAAGCATCAAGCATCTAAAAATATAGGATGTGCTCTACTTGTGTCTAACATGCCAATCTGGATACATTAACAAGTAATTTAAAATAGTATAACTTTTTGATAGGAATAAATCCATCATGAACTAGAAATTTACTCACTGGAAGTAAAACAGCTTTGAAAACCTTTAGTTTCTTTAAAGAGGGTTCAATTTTAGTCAGATGGAATATATATGAAACTTCCATGTTCTTGATATAAGAACATTCCAAAAACAGAACCATATGAAAATGAATAAAGACAACACAATATACACACATCCAAGGGTTTAGGCTTACATAATTTTAAGAATGTTTAATAGTTCTATATTTACTGTGCTAAAATTAGAAAAAAAAAATCCATCATAGCTAAACAGTTAACTGCAAGGGCACATCTGAAATGACAAGCACACATAGCTTGAGATCCTGAACACGCATATTCCAGAAGCTTTTGGCAAAGCCAAGTATGTGAAGTCTCCTTGACTTCTGATGTCACATTATCCTATCTTCTGCCATCTGCCTCTAGCAAATGCCAGTGTATTCCCAGGATGGAAACATGCCTCCTTTCTGAATCATTCCTACAAAGACTCCCCAAAATATGGCCTCTTGCAGTTGAAAATGATTGCCCTGAATTCAGAGGAAAACACAAAACCATGGGCTTCTCTCCATAATTCAGAATCAAGAATTCCCCATCTCAATGATCAGCGACTAAACTGAACGAGGCTAAAACTTAATAGACTCCTATGTTGACAGCCCAGTAAAGGGCCAAATAGTCTTTGAGAAATGGGAACTTCAAAACTCAGAATCCACAAGAAAGTCTTAAGGTTTCTGAGGACACTTTAGAAAACAACATAAAATCACCTTCTCATTTGGGGTTTTGCATGAAGAAGTCTCTGAGCATGCAATTCCTATTTTTTGTTTCCAGTGGACTTATGACACTCTTAGAGTGCAATGCCCTTATTGCAGCATTACAACATTCTGCATGATTAATTGATTGCAAATCACTGCACAGGATGCCAAGATCACTGGTACAAAGCAGGTCATTAAATAAAATCAAAACTCTGCCGATGTTTTGCTTGTAATGTTTCTTCCAAAGCCTTACAGCTCCATTCCTTAAAAACAGCCTTAATTC